TAGAGGGGTGATACAAACCATTTAACACCGACAGGGGTGCTTACAATGGTCTGCTTTTTATTAATTTATGTAAAAATTATATACCAAAAATAACTATTTTCTGTCACTGCTTATGAAGTGTTAGCTTGAGTTCAGCTTCAATTTTTGTCTAAATCTGTATCTAACACTACCTTCTCCCCAGATTGATAATGCTGCTGTCTGCATTCTATTTCATCTAGAATGCAGAAACCCTATAGGCTCATTCACACGTGCATCAATAACTGGTTTTGAGCTGCATATATTCAGTATTTTTTTTCAAGCCGTATAACTGCCCTTTAATGCCTGCCCATATTACAATGGGCACAACACAGTTCTGTACACACGAGTGGTAGTGGTGTGTTAAAAATTAAAGAGGCATTCCAGGCTTCCCAAAAAAGAAAAAAAAATTACAAATACTGTAGCTGCTGACTTTTAACCACTTGCCCTCCTGAGGATTTACCCCCCTTAATGACCAGGCCTCTTTTTGCTACTTGGCGCTGCACTAATTCAACTGATAATTGTGCGGTCATGCAATGCTGCACCCAAACTAACTTTACGTCCCTTTTTTTCACACAAATAGGGCTTTCTTTCGGTGGTATTTGATCACCTGTGCGCTTTTTATTGTTCACGCTATAAACAAAAAAAGACTAAAAATTTTGAAGAAAAACAATATTTTTTAATTTCAACTATAAAAAAAAAATATATAGTTAACTCAAAATTAGTTATAAATTTAGGCCAAAATGTATTCTGCTACGTTTTTGGTAAAAAAAAATCCCAATAAGTGTATATTGATTGCTTTGTGTGAAAGTTATAGCATCTACAAACTATGGTTTAGATACTGCAATTTACGCCATTGTTTTGCTATACAGCGCTGCTCTAGTTTACTGGACAATTGCGCGGTCATGCAATACGGTACATAAATGAAATTTACCTCCTTTTTTTTACCCACAAATTGAGCTTTCTTTCGGTGGTATTTGATCACCTGTGCATTTTTTATTTTTTGCGCTATAAAAAAAAAAGGCTGACAATTTTGAGGAAAAAAAAACAATATTTTGGACTTTTTGCTATAAAACATGTCCAGTAAAAAAAAATTTAAACAAACTTACCGTATTTTTCGCTCCATAAGACGCACTTTTTTTCCCCCCAAAAAAGTGGGGAAAATGTCAGTGCGTCTTATGGGGCGAATATAAAGCGGCCGGTCCGGTATTTTTGCGGCCACCATGTCAGAATACCGGGCCGGCCGCTCAGCTGTTCTCCCCTGCAGGGCCTTACCTGTTCCTCGCTCCAGCGCTGCACACTTCTTCCCGCGCTGGCTTCTGTGACAGCCGGGTGCCCAGGTACCCGCTCCCCCTCCCTCCTCAAAGGTCAGCAGTCTCTGGTCATTCCCTTCACTGTCCGCAGTCTCTGGTCATTCCCTGCACTGTCCGCAGTCTCTGGTCATTCCCTGCACTGTCCGCAGTCTCTGGTCATTCCCTGCACTGTCCGCAGTCTCTGGTCATTCCCTGCACTGTCCGCAGTCTCTGGTCATTCCCTGCACTGTCCGCAGTCTCTGGTCATTCCCTGCACTGTCCGCAGTCTCTGGTCATTCCCTGCACTGTCCGCAGTCTCTGGTCATTCCCTGCACTGTCCGCAGTCTCTGGTCATTCCCTGCACTGTCCGCAGTCTCTGGTCATTCCCTGCACTGTCCGCAGTCTCTGGTCATTCCCTGCACTGTCCGCAGTCTCTGGTCATTCCCTGCACTGTCCCGTCATTCCCTGCACTGTCTCTGGTCATTCCCTGCACTGTCCGCAGTCTCTGGTCATTCCCTGCACTGTCCGCAGTCTCTGGTCATTCCCTGCACTGTCCGCAGTCTCTGGTCATTCCCTGCACTGTCCGCAGTCTCTGGTCATTCCCTGCACTGTCCGCAGTCTCTGGTCATTCCCTGCACTGTCCGCAGTCTCTGGTCATTCCCTGCACTGTCCGCAGTCTCTGGTCATTCCCTGCACTGTCCGCAGTCTCTGGTCATTCCCTGCACTGTCCGCAGTCTCTGGTCATTCCCTGCACTGTCCGCAGTCTCTGGTCATTCCCTGCACTGTCCGCAGTCTCTGGTCATTCCCTGCACTGTCCGCAGTCTGGTCATTCCCTGCTGTCCGCAGTCTCTGGTCATTCCCTGCACTGTCCGCAGTCTCTGGTCATTCCCTGCACTGTCCGCAGTCTCTGGTCATTCCCTGCACTGTCCGCAGTCTCTGGTCATTCCCTGCACTGTCCGCAGTCTCTGGTCATTCCCTGCACTGTCCGCAGTCTCTGGTCATTCCCTGCACTGTCCGCAGTCTCTGGTCATTCCCTGCACTGTCCGCAGTCTCTGGTCATTCCCTGCACTGTCCGCAGTCTCTGGTCATTCCCTGCACTGTCCGCAGTCTCTGGTCATTCCCTGCACTGTCCGCAGTCTCTGGTCATTCCCTGCACTGTCCGCAGTCTCTGGTCATTCCCTGCACTGTCCGCAGTCTCTGGTCATTCCCTGCACTGTCCGCAGTCTCTGGTCATTCCCTGCACTGTCCGCAGTCTCTGGTCATTCCCTGCACTGTCCGCAGTCTCTGGTCATTCCCTGCACTGTCCGCAGTCTCTGGTCATTCCCTGCACTGTCCGCAGTCTCTGGTCATTCCCTGCACTGTCCGCAGTCTCTGGTCATTCCCTGCACTGTCCGCAGTCTCTGGTCATTCCCTGCACTGTCCGCAGTCTCTGGTCATTCCCTGCACTGTCCGCAGTCTCTGGTCATTCCCTGCACTGTCCCGCAGTCTCTGGTCATTCCCTGCACTGTCCGCAGTCTCTGGTCATTCCCTGCACTGTCCGCAGTCTCTGGTCATTCCCTGCACTGTCCGCAGTCTCTGGTCATTCCCTGCACTGTCCGCAGTCTCTGGTCATTCCCTGCACTGTCCGCAGTCTCTGGTCATTCCCTGCACTGTCCGCAGTCTCTGGTCATTCCCTGCACTGTCCGCAGTCTCTGGTCATTCCCTGCACTGTCCGCAGTCTCTGGTCATTCCCTGCACTGTCCGCAGTCTCTGGTCATTCCCTGCCTGCACTGTCCCTGCACTGTCCGCAGTCTCTGGTCATGCACCCCTGCACTGTCCCTGCACTGTCCGCAGTCTCTGGTCATCCCTGCCTGCACTGTCCCCGCAGTCTCTGGTCACTGTCCGCATCTCCTGCTCTGTCATCCCCCCTCAGTCTGTCTCGCAGTCTCTGGTCATCCCCTGCACTGTCCCCGCAGTCTCTGGTCATCTCCTGCACTGTCCCCGCAGTCTCTGGTCATCTCCTGCACTGTCCCCGCAGTCTCTGGTCATCTCCTGCACTGTCCCCGCAGTCTCTGGTCATCTCCTGCACTGTCCCCGCAGTCTCTGGTCATCTCCTGCACTGTCCCCCGCAGTCTCTGGTCATCTCCTGCACTGTCCCCCGCAGTCTCTGGTCATCTCCTGCACTGTCCCCGCAGTCTCTGGTCATCTCCTGCACTGTCCCCGCAGTCTCTGGTCATCTCCTGCACTGTCCCCGCAGTCTCTGGTCATCTCCTGCACTGTCCCCGCAGTCTCTGGTCATCTCCTGCACTGTCCCCGCAGTCTCTGGTCATCTCCTGCACTGTCCCCGCAGTCTCTGGTCATCTCCTGCACTGTCCCCGCAGTCTCTGGTCATCTCCTGCACTGTCCCCGCAGTCTCTGGTCATCTCCTGCACTGTGTGTCTGCAGTCCATTGGTTCAGAATATTTTTTTTTCTTGTTTTTCACCTCTAAAACCTAGGTGCGTCTTATGGTCAGGTGCGTCTTATGGAGCAAAAAATACGGTAGTCATAAATTTCTGCCCTAAATGTATTCTGCGACATGTCTTTGCTATAAAAAAAAAACCCCAATACATGTAAATTGGTTTATAGTTATAGCGTTTACAAATGGCGGGAAAGATACTTGGATTTTTATCTATTTATTTTTTTATACTAATAATCAGCGACTTATGGCTGGACTACGGCGGACATTGTGACACTGGGGGGTAACTGACTTGGGGTCACTGACATCCCCAGTGACACCAATACAGTGATCAGTGCAAAAAAAAAAACAGACACTGTACTAATGGCACTGGGGAGGAAGGGGTCAACTTTATTATTCAGTGAAAGGATTAACTGTGTGAGGGGAGTGTTTTTACTAGGGGGCGGGGTGTATACTGCACAGAGACACACTGATCCGGACAGATAAACTCCTCTTCTGTCCCGATCAGCGTGTCAGGAGCTGTCAGGGAACTGACAGAAAGCACAGCTACTGCAGCTGTGCTCTCTGTCAGTGATTGCCGCTAATCGTCGGGACATAGCCGGTAACGTTTTAAAACGTGGTTTTGCCCAGCCGTGTCGCCCTGCCGCCGTATTTCTACAGTGGCTGGGCGGCATGTCGTTAATATAAGGACACTTACTGGTCCAGGGAATATATCTGCTCTTGTGTTATCACTGTTTTGAGAGGTTCATATACATGGGGTTGTCTGTAATGTTCCTGGTTAGCCCCCTCTAATCTAGTGTGTTCTGACACTACCTTATGTGTGGTCCTCAAAGATGTTTTGGAAAGTCAAGAGTTGATCTTACTGTTAACTGTAACTTCTAGGAGACTTCCATGACTACAGAATTCTCACTCTTGTTGTTTTTTTCGGAAATCCAGTTAGATTTTCTGCAGAATTATAACTTTACAAAAGAGGACCTAATCTGAAACTGCTACAACAAAAACAATTTTTTTGCTGTAACTGTTTCCAATTTAGGTCCTTGTTTTTTTTTTTAGGTTTTCTTATAATTCTGCAGAAAATCTAACAATTTTTTTAAAAACAATATTGGTCTGTGCGTTGATAATTTTACCGAATTGAGTGTATGCCATAACTCTGCTAACCCTTCACTATATCTCAATTTTCAGGCACTCTCGGAACAGGCACTATGCAGAAGAGCTAGAATTATGTAGGCTGGAAAGAATGCCTGTGGAATATGGAGATTACCACCCCTTAAAAGTCATAACTGTAAGGTGTTTTATTTTTTATGGTGTGGGGGAAAAAAAAAAAAATCAGTGTACATTTTACATGTAAAAGTGATTTCTAATTTGCTTAACCAAACATATTGTAGCCATTATTTTGTAGCCGCATGCCACATGAAAAATGAAAAGTATAAATAGCTTCTCAAGCTTACCTGTTTTGCTCTAATTGTAGCAGAAATACACACTTACCTGTGCTATGGTTTTTTAATGAATTTTTAGCTTCCTAATGCTTGTGAAAACTGCACCTATTCTTATCACATTGCTTCATATATACAGTTGTCACCCATTTATCCAAAAAGTATAACTATACTTAGTTTTACTTTTTTAGTAATTGCCTGTTGGTGTGTTGTGTGTATGGAATAGACTATACCAGGTGCAGCTTCCTTGATTTCTTCACAAGATGCCATCATTATTTTTATTGAACCTCAACCTACTCCCCAGGATTTTATCAAATTCATAGTACAGAAAGTTTCTGAATCTTTGTTGCTAAGACCTGACCCTAACAAACATGATCTAGAAATGTTAACCGACTATTTTTGCCTATAGTTGAGAGAAATGTGGGACTGAAAAGGGGAAGAACTGGTGCCCACCACTGGGTTGGATTTAGCTTATATAAATGTAAGGTTATTCTACTTCCCTTTATAACCACCAAAATATGTATTATTAGAACTCTACATTGACTTCTTTTTCTTCCCTTTTTTTTTTTTTTTTTTAAGACCCAATTCAAAATCTTTGTGTGGGTGATGTATAAAGTAGCATCACTTCAGACATATTTTAAAGTGTTTTTTTTTTTGCAGAAATCCTGGATTTATCTCTCTCTCTTCATTCAGGTCACAGAATCCAGATTTAAGAAAGTATGCCACAAAGAGAGCACATCAAGTACATCTGCTTGTTCCTCTATTTCAAATGTGGATCCTCTAAGCGGCATCCTGGATGGAACTGACCCCTTGTCAATGTTTGCTGCAACAACTGAGCCAGTGTCAACTAGTATGGTAATGATGCTCATAATTTTACAGGAGCTTTGAGGTCATTATTTATATTTGTAATGTTGTTATTGTCGCAGAAGTAAACTCTGCCATCCATTGACCTAACTAGAGATAGTTGGTTTATTGCCTACAGTGAGTGCTAGTCCATGTGGGACACTTAGGAGTGAAGCAGTGCCTCGTGTCTATAGTGGCACAATCACTATCGTCACATTGGGACTGTTCATTGAGTTGGATTTTGATTTTATTTCATATTTTGTTTATAATATTTAATGAAAGCATTATAATGTTATAGGCTCACAGGTTTTTTCAAGCGTGACATGAGTGGTCTGCATTTATCTCTTTATTTTAAGTGACCTGAGACTGTCTGTCTTTTTTTTTTTTTTTCTTCTTATACTAGAACCCCCATTTAGATATTTGTATATTGTGATCATATCTCCTCTTAAATACCTCTTCTTCAAGGAGAAAAGAAATGTAATGATTGTATTCGCCCCCATCACTAAAGACCTCCAGTCCTCCTAATAGCTTTGTTGCCCTTTCACTGGAGTTTTGTAAAGTGGAAAAATTAAAGCCTAATTTCTTGAGAATTCCCTTTTTATGGCATGGTCTGCCAGCCTTGCCTTGCTTGCTGCAACTTGGCATTGAACACCGTTGCTGAGCCTGTGATCTAGTACCTCCCAGATTCTTTTCCATTCTCAATTTTCCCAGAGATTCTCCCCCTAGCGAGTAACTTGCATGCATACATACGTTTACATTTTTCAATAATAAATCTTAATTGCAATATAGTTGCCCACCCCTTTATTTTATTGAGGTCTACTTATGTTTCTATATCCTGCTATGCAAGTATTACCCTGCTTAGCTTTGTATCGTCAGCGAACGTTGAACTATTTATACCAACCTGTAAATCATTTATTAAACAGAATTGGTCTTAGAACTAAGCCTTGGGGCACCCTGCTCACAACTCAGACCATTCAGAATATAAGCCATTTATCACCATCCTCTGAACCCGCTCCTGTAACCAATTTTCTATCCAGGTACACACACTATTGTCTGTGCCAACAGACCTTACTTTATAAATTTAGCATTTATGGGGTACAGTGTTTGAAAGTTTAAATGCTTTATGTGAAAAGACTCAAACTTAGTGGTAAATAGTCTACCATTCAAAACTTGTCAGGTGAATTAATAGGTGTTACATGACACCACGGGGGTTTATTTACTAAACCTGGTTGACTCAGAATCTTGTCCACTTCTGCATAAAAACCAATCAGCTTCCAGGTTTTATTGCTGAAGCTTAACTGAACATGCTGAGGTTAGAAGCTGATTGGCTACCATGCACAGGTGCCCAAGATTCTGAGTCAACCAGGTTTAGTAAATAAACCCCCACAGGTCACACCATGTCCAACTGTAGGCTTTCTTAAGATACCCGGGCACTTTTCCTTGTCCTTTTTGTCATGAGAACTTCTCTACAGAATGGTCTGA